TCGACATTTCTAGTTTAATGTTGAATCATGTACACAATAAAATGTACCATCAAGGATACAATTCCTTTCTGGTTATTCGTATGGCAAATATTTTTCGCTCATCTATTAAATACTACAAGAATATAATTCATTTCTGGTATTCTTAAAACTATTTTTTAAATTTTTTTTAAATTTTTTTAAATTACAAGTCATTCTTTATTGTTAAAATTTAATGAATTAATTTATTAAATCATCTAGAAGATGACTAGAATGAAGATGAATGAAAAGCAAAGCAGAAAATACAGAAAGAAAAAAAAATTGGTAGTAATCTAAAATACACGCAATGTTTATAATGATTCAAAAGAAAGAAAATCTTTTCTCGATAAAAATAAATTTATCAAATGCAACGAGCATTACGCATTTTTTAGGCTAACGCACGTGCTTTAGTATTATCTTCCAGAAACGGTCTCAAGTTTCAAGCAAATGTGTGTATACTATGCGTACATTTATACATATAACGAAGACGATACGTGAATGCAGGTTTACGTTTAGTAAAGTTGAACGCGCATATCTACTCTTTTTACCGGTAATTCACGCAGGAAATAAGTAGGCAGGAAGTTTAAAGAAGGAAATCTAATCCACAGAATTGTGTTAAAACATTGTGTAAAAAAAACTAGTTTAAAAAAGAAATAAGATCTCCATATTTCTACAATTTAGTTTCTTTCATAATAAAGATTAATTTTTTAATCGTTTGTTCAAATTTTATTTATTCCTAATTTTTAAAAGTTAATTAACTTTAAAAAAATAACAAGTTTCAATTTTTCTGAATTTTTAGCTATAACTTACAAATTTTTTTCACTAATTTTCAATTTTTCTAAATTTTTAATTAACTTAAAAGTTGTTTTCAATCATTTTCAATTGTTCTACAACTTTTACGAAATTTAAAAAATTAATTTTCATAGGGATTAATTTAATTTATTTTAGTAAAATTTAGTGTAATTTATTTTAGTAAAATTTAATTTAACTAAACATAGTACAATTTAATTGAATATTTCAAAACGTCAATTATTTAAAATTGGTAAAAAATGAAAATTGGCAAAAAAAAAAAAAATTGTCAAAATAAATGAAAATTGTAAAAAAATGTAAATTAAAAATTATATTAATACTCGAAACACTATTGTTTATAAAAAAAAATGAAGAGAGTTTGCTAAATTAAACTATATTTCAAATCTTTTGTTGTTAGATACTTGAAAATAGTTATTAAGAGTGATCAAGGTCTTCTTTTGCTCGACAAAAAGCAATGATAAGATAAGACCAGTGACTTACTTCCGATATCTTCCATACACTATTTGCTGTTTGTTAAAAGAATTTTATTATAATAAATATTAGATTACGAATATCTATCTTCTCGATAATTAATATTGCTCATATTCTCCGATTATTTTTCTAAAAAATTGTTACAAAAATTTATTTTTCGCAAATTTTTTTTTTTCAAAAATCCATTTTGTTTTCCTTAAATACACATTTTTTCGGCAGATATCAAATTGAGACCAAAAAAAGAATCAAAAGTGTTGCGAAGCAACCTTTTGATTCTTTTTTTTTGTCTCAATTTGAGATCTGCAGAAAAACTATGTAAATGAAAAAAGTCGTGCACTAATTTCAAGAACATAAAAATACCAATACACTGACAAAAGAAAATAATTTTTGAAAAAAAAGGAGAAAAAAATTTCTAAATTAATAATTCTCTCAGGAAACTAATATATATCCAGGAAATCAGTAAGTTAAAGTCAGTTGCGTTTTGTTGATCCCACGAACACCTGCGTTTAAGTTCCTCCCTCCCACCTGCGTAGCACCTGAACGAAGGAAGCTTTCGAGGACTTAAGCCGCACCTGACAAATGACCTCGAAAAGTGCAAAATAGACATGGCGCCGTTTTCTTGAAATAGACTTGTCGCATGTCACACTTTTTCATTTTTTTTCTCTCTCTCTTATTATTAAACAATAAAATGTGCATCAAAAATGAAAAAAGAAAAATTGGAAAAATTATCTTCACTTAGAAATTTTTCAAAATTTTACTGAATTCTCTACTATAGATGAGAGTAAAAGAAAAAAAAAATGAATGAAATATTTAGGTCCCTGAAGTTAGCGTCGACGCTAATTTTCAAAAAGTATTTTTTTTCTAGGGTTTTTAGTGATTAAAATTAAATTAAAATTTAGTAATTTTTTCCTGCCTTTTTTATTGGACTCCTAAAATTTTTTTTTACTGGACTCCATCTAAGAATTTGAATTCAAAATTTTAAAAAATGGTTTATTATTTTTGGTTGGCCATCTAGCGGTGACCTTGGCGTTCGCAGGTGGAGAGTAGCATCTCCATTTTGAATCTCAAGATATTCGTAATTCTATAATTATTTTTAATCAAATTTACAAAGTTTGTCAATTAATATAAACGGATTTTTATTTTTCTTTTACTTTAATTTGTTACATTTTTTAATATCTCTAATTTTTTAAATAAAAATGTCAAAAATTCGCCTAAGAAGCTAAATTATCTTTCAGGACATTTTTTTAGCCTAAAATCTGAGAAAAATGGGTTGGATTCTTTTGCGAAAAAATGTAGGTTCCTGAATCCTAGTCGAATGAAAATTGTGAATTTTTTGATATTTTCGATAACAAAAAACAAAGAAAAAAAAAATTAGTTTTTGACTCTGGGTGTCGATACAAACTTTTCAGAGGTCTAAGAAGACTAAATTATAACAAAGAAGACTATAAAAAGAAAACTAAAGAAGACTAAAGAAGACTATATAACAAGACTTAACAAGACCTTAAATATTTTATAAAAACAAACAAAATCGATAATTTAACCAAACAGAAACGAGTTTTATCCCACTCTCTCTCTCTCTTTTATTCCCAATATTCGATATTTCTCAATGAAACCAAACAGGGTAAAATAGAAGGAGAAAAGAAAAAAAGAATAATAATTTGCAAAATCAAACTGTGTTGAACAAGCAAAGAATTTCTCTCGTACGAATGAAAGATTCTTGAAAGTGGTTCGGGATACATGAGAGGAATTCAAAAGTTTCAGGGACAACTGCTCCAACGGTCCTTGACTCGAATAACTCGAAAGGTCGTAAGATGAGTTTATATACTTTTTCATTTTTTTGGCGAACACACAACGAGAATCAGTTAACTTTGTCAGAAAAGATTTCTAGAGTTTGACTCTATATATGTAGTTATATGTATATATATATACATATAGGATTCTGGTCGACAGTGCCGCATCACTCTGATAACGGATTCTCAACGTATACTGTTACCATGTTTCGTGTATAAGAAGCGAACGAGAGAGGCACTTCCCGAACGGTTATCTTCAAATTGAAGGAGGTAACAAAACTTTTTAACCCCCCCCCCCCAAAAAAAAGGGATTTATAAGTCCTCATATAATTTTCTATAAGAGATTGGTTGAATATTGCAGAAAAAAAAATTGGTTCATATTAAAGTTCGTCTTGGAAAATATTTCCCTTTCTGTCTAAAGTTGAATTGAGCAAAAAAATTCTTGAATTTTAATTAGTAAAACTTTTTTTCTGATGATTTTTGACAAGTTCCGACTTAAGACTAAAGTTTTAAATTATTTTAGTAACTTATTTTAGCGAATAAAGTTTTCTAGTTTAGTAAAATAATTTAATATTATTAAAAAAAAAAAAAAATTTAATTTCAAATATCACAAATTTGATTAATTATTTAGATAATTTATCCAAATTGTGTCAATTATGACACCGTTTAACATCTAATTATCACTTTTAAATTCTCCTTAAAAGATCAGAAAATGTTTTAATGTGTCAAACTAACTATAATGGTTAATGATGAGGTTCCCTACGTGTTATTTTGGCTCGTTATCATCCACAGAATCTAAAATATCTCCCACAGCTTATCGTTTTTTAATGATTAACAAATATTTATGGGCAACATCCCAAGGAGTAATTTATTTTTAATTCAAAGCTTAACAATCTAGAGGTTTATCAAAACTTTTGGTCTATTCGAGATTTGCTTGCAAATTATTAATAGGGTCACAGTGCTGTAAACTATGTATTGGGGTGAAAAGAAAATGCTGCTTATTAGTGTACTATAAATTTTTCTCTTCTTTAAGCACTATAAACAAAAACTGTTAAATAAATATTAAGCACTAAAAGTAGTAATAGTATTATTTACTAGCACTGAAGTTAATGATAGTATTATTTACCAGCACTAAGGTTAGTGATAGTATTATTTACTAGCACTAAAGTTATTATTGGAATTATTTACTAGCACTAAAGATAGTGACAGTATTATTTGTTATCACTAAAATTCGAAAGAGTATTAGTTACTAGAGCTAATATTAGTAACAGTATTATGTCACTAAAGTTACAGTGTCAATATTTAGTTTCTAGCACTAATGTTAGAAGCACTATTAGACAGTGCCACTATTAGTCTATTAGTCAGTGATGATAATGATTTTTGTCACTATCGATATTAGTGACAAAAAATTAAGAAAGACCACTAATATTTTGTAGCAAATCTCGAAGAGCCTAATTTTGATAAACCTTTCTGTAAAATTTTGAGACTAAAATTATTTCCTGTTCAGAACAATGATCTAACAATGCTTCTATCAAATAATTTGATGGAAGGTTAATTCGGTGATTAGAAAATTAATGTATCAACTATAAAAACTGCAATATCAAAAACAGAAAATTGGAATAACAATAAGAATCAGTAGCAATAAGAATCCCAACTAATCTTTTGGAATTGCAATCGAACGAAACAAATAAACATTTGTCAACAACAGCAATTTCTCGATTACAGTGTAAATTCTCACGACAAAAGCTCAGTATTTAAAGGACCAATAAGTGAAATATTTGAACCTTTCACATGGTTTCCTGCATTCCCCACAGGTTCGGCTATCATGTTGAGTGGCAAAAACCACAGAATGAGAGATAGACTAGTGTTGCGAGTGTGTGTTTGCAAGAGAAAGAGAGAAGGGATGAGATTTACCTATAGAACGGCGAGCCAAACGGTGTGCAGTAGAATGGATCGTTGGGCATGGGCGGTTGACCCGGAATTCCAGGTCCTTGAGGATGAGGATGCGGTCCCATTGGACCAGCGGGACCAGGTGCACACATCCCAGGTCCACCTTGAGGCTGCATACCGGGACCACCCATCATTCCACCAGGACCCATATGAGGACCCGGATGATGCGGTGAACTAACCATATGTGGTCCAGAATGATGAGGATGAGGCGATGGTCCACCACCGCCCATATGAGGATGTGCCGCGTGCGGTGAACTACTCATCATACCGTGGGGTGGCATCGAATGGGGACTGGGCGATGCACCATTTAAATGTGGTCCACTAACTCCCTGATGAGGTGTTGGAGGACCGCCGTGTGTTGGCGTTGTGGCCGGTTGTGGTGGCGGTAAATTCGGTGGTCCCGTTGGTCCACTGCCTAATGGTGGTAATGGCCCATTTGCCATATTGTTCAATTGTGTCAGCGATGCGGCAGCTGATGCCATCGCTTGCAATGGATTTGGTGCGTTTGGATTAGCACCCCCCAGGCCCAATGGGGGAGAACCAACAGGCGTGGGTCCTCCGAGGCAACGGCCCGATGTTCCTGGGCCCACTAGTGAGCCTGGCGCTACCGGTGCACCGGCGTGGATTATTCCACCTGGGGGGCGTTGCGCCACCCTCACCGGCATTACTCCCCCCTCCACGACGCCACCCGTCTCTTCAAACCACGGTTTTTCACTGAACACACTTTTTTATTTCTTCCACTTCTCGGGGGTATTTTTTTTTCTTAACCGAAAAAGCAAAATAGAAGACCCTGGTCTTCTAATATTCCAGTAGAGGACCTCTAGTATTAATCCTCCTAAGTCTTCCAAGATCCTGTCTTCCAATAGAGGACCTCTATTCCAAACTATCCCTAGGTCCAATCTGTATCAGAAGACTTTTGCTTCACTGTCTTTAGTTTGAAAAACTGTCCTTAGTTTTCAAAAAAAACGAAGCATTTTGTTTCAACAGATGTGTCACAACACTTTTCTTTTCGAAAATCACTATTTTTGGAAAATTTGCACGACACTAAAGGGAAGTAGATGGCTTAAAACTACACGAAACATTTAATCCAGAGGGAAGAATTCTTCCTATTACACAAACACCGGACGGAAGAGTACCTTTCAATCACAAACCAAGTCCCACAAGAATTGATACCAAATTTTTGTATTCTACTAAATAAAATAAAGAACTTTTATTTAGAATACCACTACCAAACACAGTAGTACTTTTAGTACTTTTCAAATTTCTACACAAGTTTCGATCACCACAGTTTCCACTCGTTTTCAAAAACTATTGCACTTATTTCTTCACTTAAAATGTATCACAAAATGGCAAAATTGGATCAATATGGGTTTTATCGATTGTCGAGAGGGGTATATAATTTCTAGCAAGTGGCAACAACCAACTGATGAGGGCACGTGGCTGTCACGTCGTTGTCGTCGTCGTCGCGACGTATTTTGTCGCGATCACATCTTTTGCCCATTGTCCCTACACCCTTTCTCTCCAGGACTTGCATCGATCATAAAACATGAATTAAAAAACTATCATCATTCCCCTTTTTCAAAGCACTTGCCCAACACATAATCCATAACCCAAAGAAACACGTGAACCTGAACAACATATCTTATATCACTCAAATAGTGCATTGCAATATAACTCCAAAAATAAAAACTAAAGCTTCTTCACCAAAAGGATAAAAAAAACAGAAAAAAAAAACCAAAACGACCAGTGTACAAACAAAAGTTGATTTTAAACTTTGATTCTTTTTTTTATAGAAAAGGATTTTTTTTTTTTTGAGAAATGACACACGAGTTTTTTTTAATGAGGAACAACCTTCACGAGGACGACTACGCTCTTCGGAAGCGGTCGCATAACTGCGGACCAAGAGAGTTTAGTGGCGCTACAATCGCCCCCTCTGTATAAAGCGACGACTACGACGACGACTCAAAAGGGGGCTGCAGGGAAAAACGACGCTGGATCTCTCTCTCTCTCTCTCTTTCTCTCACACACATATCGTGGAAGGGAGAATTCACGCACGACTTCGATGGGTGGTGTGCTGAAGGGAAGTGAGGAGAGAAGGGCGGAATATAAGAACACGGCCGACGCGTCCACGCATCACACACAAACTATAAACCCTAACCCTTCGGTTTTGCCTTCTCCTTCCTCCCAAGGGGTGAAACGTTAACCTATTTCTTTTAGGCATCTACCATAGTCCCTGTAGGGCAGACAAAAGTGACGAGAGAAAGAGAAACATAACATTCGACATTTATATGATGTCTAATTTAGCCAACAAATTTTTTTTTTCTTTTCGAAGCTAATGGTCCTTGCTCTCTCTAGGTGTACGCAAAAAAAAATTATGTTTCAATCAAATACTCTACATTGTTGTACAAATCTTGCTTTTAGATTATTCTAAATAAAATATATTCATATTTTATTAATTTAAATACAGATTGTTTATTCCAAATATTTATTTCCATAAATTTATTTGAATCAAACATAAGTATCATAGCATAATTTTTTGTAAGCCCGTTTACTACTTAAATAAATAAATAACTATTTTAATTATATTGTTATATAGTCAACCAAACATTATTTTTGAATTAAAAATATACAGTTTTTCAGCAGATATCAAATTGAGACAAAAAAAAGAATCAAAACGTTGCTTTGCAACATTTTTGATTAGTTTTTTGTCTCAATTTGATATCCTTAGAAAAAATGTGATAATTTTGATTCAACACACAATAAATTTGAGTCCAAAAATTATGGTTAATTCAATTATAAAATATGTTTAATTCAAACGTATTTTTTTGATTGGATACTTTTTTTTAAAAAAATTCTTTTCTCAGTGCAGGCTTCGCACTCAATAATTTGTTTTAAAAAAGTAGCTTTAAGACTAAAAAAAGTAGCATTAAGACTGAAAAAAGTAGTAAAAAATAACTATTACCGAAAAATTAAATTTGGCGACTAAAAAACTTATTTTAGACGATTCACAAAATTCATAAAAATTTCATTCTGTATTTCTCTGACATTTTCCTGATTCCCATCAAAAATGTTTTTTTATGGACTTCAACTCAAAATTCTTCTAAACTTCAATTATTTTCCAAACTTTTAGTTAAAAATTTTAGAAATTTTAGAGTTCTTTAAAAATTTGATTATATTGCAAAATAATTATTAAAAGCAAGAAAATTAAATTTTTTAAAACATAAAATTGATTTCAATTCACAAAATTTTCCATTAACTGGACATTTAAATAAATATTATTAATTTTTACAATTTAAAATAAAATTTTTCAAAAGACAAATTTTTTTTTGATGATTATTAAATTAAATTATTCAAATTTATAATAATTTCTATAAAAATTCATATTATTATGCATTTAATATTTAATTATTATAATCTAAATTATAACTGTAATTTATTTTTAAATCAATTCTTATTCAAAAATTCTACAAGAATATAATTATTTAAATACAAAAATAAACAATTTATTAAACAATTAAATGTTTCTTAACAATGAATTTTCATAAAGAATTTTATCAACAAATTTTTAAATAATTACATTTTTTCGAAGAATTTAAATAAAATTTTCAAGAATAATTTCATTTTTCGAGAAATTTGATAAAAATTGAATTAAAAATAATTGAAATTCTGCCAAGAATTTTATTAAAATTTTTGAAAATAATTGAATTTCGGAGAAAAATTTTAATATTTATAAAGATAATTGAAATTTTGACGAGAATTTTTGTAAATTTTTAAACATAATTGAATTTTTGCGAAAAATTATATTACTTTTAAACATAATTGAATTCTTGAGACGAATGTTATTAAAATTTCTTTTTAAATAATTGAATTCTTGAGAAAAATTTTATTAAAATTTCTTTTTAAATAATTGAATTCTTTTGTGAAATTTTATTGAAATAGTAGACATTGAAAATAATTGAATTTTGACAAATTTTTGAAATTATTTAAATTTCTACAAAGAATTTTATTAAAATTATTTTGAAAGAAATTGAATTCTTGCAACGAATTTTATTAAAACTTTTAAAAATAATTGAATTCCTCAGAAGAATTTTAATTAAAAATCTATTGAAAATATAGGCAAAGAATTTTAAAATAATTGAATTTCTTTAATAAATTTTAATAAAATTTTAGAAAATAATTCCATTTTCGAGGAATTCATTTTAAAAACTGTATTCAAAATAATTCAAATTCTGTAAAGAATTTTATTATTTATTATAAAAATAATTGAATTCTACCAACGAATTTTATTATTTATGCAAAAATAATTGAAATCCTGCAACGAATTTTATTATTTATGAAAATAATTGAATTGTTGTAACGAATTTTATTAAATTTTATTAAAAAATTGAATTCCTGGGAAAAATTTTATAATTTGTACAAAAAATTGAATTCTTTTTTTCATTTTATAAAAAAATTTTAAAAAATAATTCAAATATTTCGAATAACTTAATTAAAATTAGATTAAAAATAATTAAATTTTTGCGATGAATTTTATTATTTATAAAAATAATAATTTAACTATTATAAACAAATTTTGGCAAAATTGTATTGAAAATAATTGAATTCCTCTGAAGAATTTTATTGTTTAAGAAAATAATTGAATTCTTTCGAAGAATTGTATTATTTATGAAAATAATTGCATTTTTTTTAGAAATATGATTAAAATATATAAATTTGTATATATAAATAAATTAATAAAATACCTAATAGATATTGAAAATATCTGAATTTCATTATTTGTAAAAAAAAAAATGATTTCTCCTAAAAGATTTTCGAATAATTTTTGAAATAATTGAATTGTGTCAAAGAATGTTATAAAAAAAAGAATACAAAAATAATAACAAATAATAAAAAAAAGTTATAAAAATAATAAAAATAATAACGAAATAATAAAACAATACTGAAAAAAAATAATGGAAAAATATAATTTTTTTGCGAGGCGTACGAAATAAAAATTTCAATTCAAGTGTGTACCTCGATTCAAAAAGATCGAAAAAAAATTGTGTATGTACATAATAGTCTGTTCAGAAAACAGCAAACTGTAGTACTTTTAATTAGTCTTCTAGAAGAAGAAAAAAATATTTCGAAACAATTTTATCTGGAAGGCATAATTTGTTACTTTTAGATCCATGTACAATGGCAGTATAGTTTCTTTTCGCCGAACGCACAAGTAGTACAGGGGAAAGTTTCGCGTAGGTGCGGTTACGATTATCCTTTCATATATGAGACAAGAATTTCGCAATAAATACTCTATACCTAATGTATAAAATACGTATTGAAAATTATACAATTCTTTTATTTCTCCGAAATTCTTCTTCTTTTCTCAAAAAAAAATTTCCTAACCTTACATTTAATTAGCGAAATATTTTGTACCTTCTAAATTAGAATTAACAAAAACTGCGATTAGGCGAAATTCGTAACAATTTTACAAATTATAATTAGTTAAAATTGTCACTAATTGTAATTAGTATAAATTTTTATTAATCGTAATTAGTTATAATTTTCACTAATTGCTGTTAATAAAAATTTTCACTTCTTATTTAGTAAAAATTTTGACTAATTGTAGTTAACAAAAAATTTTAATAAAATGAAATTTTGACTAATAATTGTAGTTAATAAAATTTTTTAATAAAATGGAAAATCTACTTTATTTAGTAAATTTATATTATAATTTTTTTAAATTTAATTTTTAATTTATTGAAAACATTTTAAATATTTTTTTAATTTTCAAACTATTTTACATATTTAAGAATTAAATTTTCGAATAAAATATCGAGTTAAATAGAGTACGAAAAATATCATCGTTCATTTGAAAGTTCAAATAACTTAGAGATCGTCAAAATTCGATTGTCTTAAATAGTTCAACTTAAAATTAAAATTTTCCTCCAACGATTATAGTTCGAAAAATAAGAAATCCTTAAAAGAAAAGCAAATTCCCCTCCAATAATAATACATATGATAAAATGTAAATGTAATAATTTACAGTATAAAGAGAGACAGTGTTGAAAAGTAAATCTCGTTGACAAATTGTATGTTTTGACACATTCAAAGCAGTAGAAATCAGGTAGGCAAACCACATCGCAAGTCAAGTAGTTTTTGTGTAGGAGAGACTAGAGGAATATTGAAATGGCACACAATATATAAATATATACATATAACAAATAATAACATAAGACAAATTTTCCCTTTTTCCCTTAAACAAAACTTACTTTTCAATTTCAATATAATATTAAATATCATATTCAAAAATAAATTTTGAAAACACAGTTTTCAAACATAAACTCAAAAGCTCTTCTCAAAAGTGATATATACAAAAGTGATGACGAGACTTTAACCGCGCGACCAAAAGTTATATATCTATGGGGGGAAAGTAAATTCAGGTAAGTTTGGGTCGAAAACTACTATTATTAGGATTAAAATGGTAAAACTCAGGTCAATAACGCAGGTAAATTTTTGAGACAAGAGGCAAGCGCGCCAAGAAGGCAAAATATAGACATATTGCGATATTTTTCTCTCTCCATTCTCTTTACAATAAATATATAAAGAAGAAAAATTGAAAATGGAAAAAAAAAAATTTTCCAGGTAAACCAAATACGCGGTATGGAGGTAACCATCTCTTGGCCCTCTCGAGAGTAAATCGATGCTGGAGAAAAGTAGAGACTTTTCTCCTGATACGTGTGTAGTACGCGAGTATAATTTTTTTCCTTCACCCCCCCCCCACTCTTACCCATTCCTCATTAAATCTCCACTCGACGCCATCATTTGCTTTCAACTTCTACTTGTAAACTTATAATCCAGACTTGTGTTCGAAAGACTACAGATTCGAGTTGTATAGTAAAGATCGAAAAATCGAGAGAG